CAACCGCAGGTGGCGCAACACATGAGGTCCGAACCCATGGTCTGTCGGCTAGGTCAAATTCGGGCCGGACAATCCATCATTCTGTAGCCTTATTCGGCGATTGTTCCTCTCGCATAATACTACGCGGTAAAACATCGGAAAAGGAACACCCCATAGTGAGCCAGGTGGTTTTACGCGAAATTCCAGTAGGTGTACATACTACCGCCTTCTAACTCCAGCGTTAATTCCAAACCGAACTTTAGGCCAACCTCTCTAACAGATTTAGCGGAAGGCAACCTGCATTAGGAAGGGGGAGGGGTGGGTTCCTAGTCGCATGTCTTGCAATCACGTGTCAGTCAGATGCTTCCGAAATGCGTCTTCCGCAAACCGGAGAGAGGAGACCGTACCGGAAAAAACTGTGAATCAACCACCTGTGTCCATCCATTCGTCACGGTTAGACATAGACTCGATTTGCAGGATAAGCCGGATAGTGTTACACGGCAATGCTTGCATTGGACAGGTACCGGCTTCACGAGAATGGAGGGGAGGAGCAGATGTAAACTCTGTCTGTCAGACGCAACAGATGCGGGTGGGCTGACTGTGCAGTTCTCGACCCGAACGCGTTGCTGGACCTGCTTCTTCACCGACCAACTCCCCGACTCCACACACATACAGACGACACATTTAGACAAGCACTTACGCAACAACAAACAGCAAAATAACGATTTAGTTGGTACGCATTGGTTACATTTGCTTGATTTGGCCCGCCGGTAGGAGTGGCTTCTAGGTTGTGGCCGACTGTGGCCGGCTACAGTTTTCCGGTGGCTGTGGAAGGTATCTGAATGCCAGAGAAGACAAAGGAGGGATGCCCGACCGCGTGTACACAGATCTTTGAATAGTTTGTGATTTCACCGGCTTGTTTGTACCCCTCGTACACAGAAATTCATCGGCGTCGGTCAGGCAGGATCGTCCATGCACACACACACAACGGAACGAGTGAGTTCCGTACCGATCGGTGAGCATCTGTCTACGCGTGTCTGTACGCGTATCTGTACGCGTATCTGCTATTGTATGTCCCCAATCTAATAACGTCAAGATTGTGAGCTCGTAGCTCAATGGTTAGGACGTTCGCCCTGACCGGAGAGATCGCGAGTTCAA